TTTTTTCTTTTTATAATAAAGTTTAACATATTCAAGTCATTAGTAACAATAATATGCTTCATTTTATCCTCTGTTGAATAAAATTATGACTTATATTTTCTTTCCTCGTGAATTTTATTTTAAATCGTTGAGGTTAAGGTTCTTCGCATAAGGTTAATTTGAAGAAAAAGTAACGGAAAGAGAATCAACAGAAAAAGTTGCTAAAGGATTTAATTTCTCAAGGCATAGATTCTGTTAATATAAACATAAGCTATGTGTATTAAAAAAATGGACAAAGACCAAACTTGATAAGTTTTTGAATACTTAAAGGACTAAAATCGATAAGTGTATAGTTAAGGGACCAAAATTGACAAGTTTTTGAATAGTTGAAGGACTAAATCCGTTAAGTGTATAGTTCAGGGACCATTTTAGACCTACTCTTATAGTTGAGAGACTATTTATGTCATTTTCTCTGGCGCCATCCTATAGAGGGACCCGATTTGATCAATTAATTAAACCCAAAATTTAAAAATTTACCCATATCCACCGACTTAACCCACCCGTATAACCCATTACTCACCTAAACTAAACCCATTACTCACAAATTCCGGTTCTCTTTCCAACCCAATGACGACCCCATTTTTGCTGATCTGTAACATCAGTACTTTGAATCGGAATCACGTCGGTTTCATTTGCTACCGAACCCACTACAGTGCAATCCCTTAACTGTTGATTCTACTGATTAAGACCTCTGAAAAAGAACTGAGACTTCATGTGTTTTGATAGAGAGAGAACGAGCTTTGAGTTGGGTTTTTGTAGAGAGAGAAAGGGTTGTAGTGAGGTCAAGCCATTGAAATGGAGAAATCTTAAATCAAAGCTCACTTCATCTTATTTCTCTTTGTTCAAACTAACGGTAGAACAAAGGAATTTTATATGAAAGAAGCTCACATTTCACTTAAAGTAATCCATCAGTCTTCAACTTCTCCCCAATCTTTCTCTCTCTCTCTCTTAATGCACTTATGTGTTTCGTTCTTCAATGGTTTGATTTGGAAGTCTTCCTCAATGACTGAAAAATCTTTGGAGTGGAAAATTGGGCATTAGGATTTTTGTAGTTTTTGGATGGGTTTAGTTTAAGGGTGAGTAATGGGTATACGGGTGGGTAAAGTGGGTGGATGGGTGGATATGGGTGGGTTTTTAACTTTTGGGTTTAATTAATTGGTCAAATTGGGTCCCTCTGTAGGATTGCGCCATGTGTCCCTAGTAGGTCTTTCGTTAGAGTGAAGGGCATGTATGCTCTAGTTTTTGGACGGCAAGGACATCAACGTCCCAAAAGTATGACGGAGGGTATCTACATACCATTTACGATAGTTCGAAATATATTTGTCCTTTTTCCCTCTATATAATGTCATATAGAACATAAGTTCCCTTCATGTCAAAGTCACCTACAGTAAAACACACTATTACTCCCTTTTCCCAAACCTTTGTCTCCAAATAAAAATAAAAGAATTAGGGTGTGTTTGGTACGAAGGAAACTATTTTTCAAAAAATGTTTTTCAATTTTCTCATGTTTGGTTGGGTTAAATGTTTTGGAGAATGTTTTTCAAATCAATTCATTTTCCTCAATTTTAAGGAAAATGACTTCCCTTTAAAACTTAAGGAAAACATTTTCCAAAACTCTCCTTCAAATTAAAATTACAATTTTTTTTGTTGAAAAATTAATTTATTTTGTCCCTACCCTCAAACCACTCCAACCACCCCTCCCCCACCTCAAAAAAATAATATTAAATGTTGTTTTTAAAAGATATTTCTAATTTCAATTTTTTA